TTTAGAAAGAAGTAGAATGATGTAGAATGATGTAGAATTTAGAATTTAGAAAGATGTAGAATGATGTAGAATTTAGAATTCAGAATTTTGAAAGATGTAGAACGATGTAGAATGATGTAGAATTTAGAATTCAGAATTTTGAAAGATGTAGAACGATGTAGAATGATGTAGAATTTAAAATTTAGAATTTAGAAAGATGTAGAATGATGTGGAATTTAGAATTTAGACTTTAGAAAGAAGTAGAATGATGTAGAATGATGTAGAATTTAGAATTTAGAAAGATGTAGAATGATGTAGAATTTAGAATTCAGAATTTTGAAAGATGTGGAACGATGTAGAATGATGTAGAATTTAGAATTTAGAATTTTGAAAGATGTAGAATGATGTAGAATTATGTAGGATCTTGCGCGGAGTGTGGGGACTTGACGTCGACTCGAGAGGCCCCGATCGAGAGGACGGTGGAGAAGAAGGGGAGAACATGGCGAACCAATCAGAAGCTGAATACCGAATGTCCAGACTCTGATTAGAGAGTCTCTAGCCAATCGCGAACAACGGGGCCGTGGCAGCTCTTGAGGGCGACGTCCCATGGAGGCGGAATACGCGGAAGCGGAATCAGCGAATCGCCAATCACAAGATCATTCTGATAGAGCCCTTTCAAAAATCCCGTCGAAATGGTCTACTTGGGATTGGCGATCCGCTGATTCCGCTCTGTTTATCACACGCGTGCAGGCACGCGCGCGCGCAAGATACTTTGCAATTTAAAGAAAAGTATGTATGAAATATATACGTATAAGTATATATCGTTCTTATGTGTATAAAATGTATACGATTAATTACATATAAACATAATTTCATACTTTTAAAAAAATTGCAAAATTACGGGTGATCGATGGTGGTACGCCTTTACGTCCATAGAGATATTTCACGGATGCTACGTTTGCCGCGCATGCGCGAGAAAACCCGGCCCGTCTCGCACAACACTGGCGGAGTCGCTCGGGAGAATGACATTTAAAATCCGTGACTGAGTGCACGACGAGGACGACGACAACGACGACGGCGACGACGACGGCGACGGCGACGGCGAAGAGGAGGAGGAGGAGGAAGAAGAAGAGTGTACGCAGGTTGACAGCACGTTGACAGCCTCAACAGCCCGTCACATGGGGCGTTAAGTCGTCGTGGGGGCCGTTCGAGAAGTCAGCGCGATCATGGACCTCAACAACGATCTGGACCAGCACTTGCTGCACCAGTTTAGCTGTCTGGGCACCACGGACAAAGACGACTTGGTGAAGCAGCTGCAGAAGCTGCTGGCCGACAGCCACCTGAACGAGACCACCGCCGCGTTCTTCCTTGACATGAACAATTGGTAACGGACGTCCTCCCCGCCTTCTTCTTTGCCTCTCGCCGCAGTGTACGCTGCCCACGCACCTAACCTTGCATCGCCATGTTTACCGCGACCCCCCAGGGATCCTTCCTCGGGCCTCTCTGTGAAAGGCTCCCTTTTTTTTCCTCTCCTTTTTTTCCCCCCCAATTTAAAGTGACTCGCCGCGACGCGGCGTCACTCTCTCCTTCACCCTTCCGTTTCTTTCTCTCCCCCGAGATGCCATTGTTCCGCTTTTGACAAATCTGTGTCATTGCCAGTGTCCCATTTCAGGACCCTAACTGTTCATTTGTTGATTTGGGCCACGCGACATGCCCTCGTAATTGGCAATTTAAATGACCTGCTCGTGTATGTTTTCGTATTTTGAGGCTAGAGGGAAGGTAGGTTATTTAAATGGAAGGCGTAACGTAAACAGAAAATTTTGATAGAGATCAACGATGCCCGACAATCGAACAGTGAATTCCTTAATTGGCATTTAAATCGAGTTAAAAATTTCTAAATTTTTAGCGCAGCACGTTAGTGGAAGATGTGTAACAGGACAGATATGTCGCTCTTATCATATCTAGTACCCTTGCCTTTCTCTTCTGATTACTTGCAGATAACAAACCCGAACAAGTGGGACCATTGTTACGTTGAGACGAACCAAATACAATTTCAACATCTTGTCGCTTAAATTAATAAGCAGAACCTCTTTCCGCTGGACGTTATTGTAATACAAGGTTTTCCTGTCTAGGAATCTGCAAGCGGCGATATGCAGCTACATTGATTTCGGAAATCCCTTCAACACACCGTGCATGACGTTGATATGCGATAGCACGATCGGCGAGGGAGAGGCCGTGCCGCCTAACACAAACTTTCAAAAGTCGTGGCGAGTGCAGAACAGCGGTACCGAGGCGTGGCCCAACGGGATTCACCTGCAGCATTCCAGCGGTGTGCAAATGGGTTGCGCGCGGATACCCGTTCCACCGCTGGGACCCAAGGAGATCATGGAATTGAGCGTGATGTTGAAAAGCCCGGTCGAGACCGGCATGCATCAGAGTAAATGGAGAATGATGACGCCCAACGGCGTCTACTTCGGTGGTACGTTGCGAATTCTACGCGGCATTTCCACATATGGGGCTCGATCATGAATCTTTTCCTCTAGCGCGAACACGTGAGAAGGGAAAAATTTTATCGACGAAAACTTGAAATTAAACAAAGGCTCGTGTGATAAAATCAACATCAATAAATATAGGCAAAGGAGACAATGCCGGTTGTTAGTGCTGCGTTTATATATTTAAGACATTCGAAATAAGCATACATTTTATTTATAAAATGTATAATTATATATTATACTTATCTTAAATATATAAACACAGCACTAACAGCCGGCGTTGGCTCTATTTATTGACGAATATTGAATTCTTCAATGAAATTTATCACTTTTTTCGCGCGTTCACGCTAGAGGAAGAGATTCATGATCGAGTCCATGATCGCGAGTGTCATGTAGAGAGAGGATCAGCCAATTTACGAGCGTATAGCATTAAGAGAAAGAAATGAACGTTTTGCGTTGACACAGGGCAATATTCATGGTCAGATCTTATATTTACGATAGTTTTCAGACTATCTTTAGATACTCCGTAGCCAATAAAATGTTCCTTAAATATAAGATCTGACTATGAAAACCGGTCATAGATTCGGTAAATCAATCTGGGCCCAGGGAGGACGATTTATTTTATCGAGAACTAATTGTATATTAATCGAGATAAACGCGCAAGTTGCGATATTCTCTTATCTTGTCGATATCTTAAACTGATAATGTTAAACTCGTAGGCTTATTAGTGTTCATTCTTCCGTTGAATTCTATAAATTCATAAAACTGATCCTTTTTCTAGATCGCTCCGACTGATTGGATTTTAGTTGTATCTCGCTAAAATGATCCGTGTCTCTTTTTCGCAGATGTTATTTGGGTGATCATCACGGTGAACGAATGCGGCACATTGGCGGTTACTCAACAGTTGCATCAGTTAAGTACACAGTCCAATGATGTACAAATGTGCTAGCCTTTGACGTACAAAAGTTTCCCCTAAGAAAGATTTACGGAATATTGTATAAGAAACGTCTCTCAGATTGTGAGAATCGACAGTTGTTTCTAAATTTTGTATAGATCGCTTTTTTCACAACGGAGTTTGTCGCCGCTCGTGCACCTCATAAGACGAAGGAAAATGTTGTGTAGCAAGGATATTACCATTAATAAATAATGCAATAGACTTGGCCATACTTTTACTCCGATTGAAATATTCGTAGGAGAGACGCGAAGCTAATTTTAAAAAAATGCATTTTAAAGAACAACATTTCCACTAACCGTTTCATCTGGAATTTTTTCATTAGAGATAATTTCTTGTTCATAGTGCAGGAATGATTATTTCCAATGTTTATCCATACTGGTTTATATAAAAAAATAACGAATTTATACATATATATATAAATATATATATAAATATATATAATTAATAAATATATATAGAATATATATAGAATATATATATATAGAATTACATAATTTTGTTATACTTAGAGAAGCTGCTTACATAAGGCCTTTTACGATCGTCCATGCTTGTCGATCACATGCAGTCGACCGAAAAACTAAATTTGTGTAATATAGAAGTCGGGATAGAGCGCGTGCGATGATTCTTATTGAAATAAAGAGACGAAAGCGTGATAGATATGCGATGGGTAATTGAAGATATTGATCTACACTTAAGGTACAGATTTATTGAAAATATACTTTTTCTTAGAAAGTCAAGTTCAGTTAAATATACACATATATACGTACAGAGACATATGTATATGCGTATATAAGACTTAACTTACGACATATGTATAGCTAGGGGATTATAATACAAAATATATTCACTCTTATCGTCAGCCCACACACAAACACAAACACAAACACAAACACACACACACACACACCTACACAGAAAGATAAGTCGAACTGTTAGAGGTAATTTTTTTACATCTCTCTCAAAATCGAAAATATTGTAATTGAAAGTACTACAACTTAATCGGTGTATCTGAATACTGATCATAAATACTAGTTTGTAGGAAGGCTAGTTTCTAGCACGTTGGTTTCTTAGTTAAGTACGGAAAGATCGACGACGCCCCACAAATGTTAACGGGGGCGAATTTAAACTTTATATAGATCTTTCGGAGGATCGAGCTTGTTCAAGCAAATTAGCTCAGACGGCCATCTTCATGACGAGTTTGGGGTGTGGCTTGTAATCGATCAATTCGAAATCCTCGGCAGTGAAACCGTCGATATCTTTGACCTCTCTAACTATCCTTAATTTTGGAAACTCGCGCGGTTCGCGTTTTACCTGTTCCTCGAGGGCGCTTGTATGGTTGACGTAGACGTGACAGTCTCCCATTGTATGTACAAATTCTCCTGGCTGAAAATAAAAGAAAATAGAAAGTAGAGCAAGACTCGTCTCTTGGAATTTTTTGCGAACGCGGAACCAGGTATCGTCGGTCCTTCACCTTCAGTCCGGTAACATGAGCGATCATGTAGATCAGCAGGGAATACGAGGCTATGTTAAATGGCACTCCTAGACCCATGTCCGCGCTTCTCTGATAAAGCTGCGCGGACAATTCTCCGTTGTTCACGTAAAACTGCACAAAAGCGTGGCACGGTGGCAATGCCATCTTCGGAATATCAATCGGATTCCAGGCTGACATGATGATGCGTCTGTCCTCCGGAGAATACTTCACTTTGTGGATAACTTCTCTCAATTGATCTACTCCTAGAATAAATAAGTATACAATTAATTTTCAAATGACCAGATACAATAAATATAAACCAAAAGGAAAAGGATTCTTGTTTAAAGTCCAGAGTACCTTGTCCCGTGTAATCTGTGCGCATGTCTTTGTACTCGGCGCCAAAGTGCCGCCACTGGAAGCCATAGACAGGCCCCAGATCACCTTCCTCTCTATCCGTGAAGCCGCACGAGTCCAAGAAAGCCCGCGAACCATTCTCGTCCCAAATGTGAACACCCTTATCCGTTAGTTCTTTGGAGTTCGTCGATCCTTTGATAAACCACAACAGTTCCTCGACCACCGCACGCCAGAACACCCTCTTAGTTGTAAGTAATGGAAAAACGCCTGTATCCAGCAAATAAAACGTTAGCAACCTGCTGTCAGGTTCAAAGAAAATATCACGACAGACTGCCGTTAACTACGTCCATGTCAAATTTGCGTTTCGCTGGCAGACTGTTATATTTCTGTTAACAATTTGCCAGCAAAACTTGCAGTACACCTTGCAAAATGTACTTCCGACAGATTCGGCTGTCCAGGTAGAAATAACATAGAAAGCTTGTCAACTCGTGAATAATAAAGAATTCTCAACTCTTTTCTTTATATACCCGGATAGCCAAATCTGCCAGAACAGATTTCGTCAAATTGATATATTCGACATGTTGCCAGCGTGTCAGCAGAAATACAACGGAATCTGCTCACATAACTGGACCCGTTCGATTTCTGCCGACAATCAGTCAACAGCGTACTTATGTTTTGCAGACTCTGTTGCCAAAACAGAAGCCAAATGCGGACACAGATGGCTACGGTTTTGGTGTGGGCTTCTGATAAATCTGCTGCCAATCTGCTAACTGGATATGAAGGATTGTAAGTTACTTGGCAAGGATGCCTCATGAAGGATCTGTGGTTGCAACTGCCGTGCCTAGAAACTATTACCGGCTACCTTAGCTTTACCAACGTATATCCTGAGTGAAACTACGGTGCATTTACCATCTCGCAAGCTGAATCGCATTTGGGTGCCGAAGATGGAATAGGTATCGACGCCGGTGCGATTGCCTCGCTTCGCCCCAGTCTTAATAACCCTCTCGATGAGCCGCAAATACTGATACTCCTCGTGCTCCTCGTTCGCCTTCCCGTTCCTCTGCTGCAGGTCACCCGTTGCTCCTCGCGACGACTCCATCTCGACGCTGTCACTCGACATGTCGCGTGTATTGCGTTACAATAATATCTGAGACACACAATGCAGGGTATACGATCAAAATGGGAATCGTTATCACGGATGGTGCGAGGGAGAGCCGTTACGATCAACTCCTGTCACATTCCGGAGTTATTTAAATTTAAATGACCATACTCTTTGGAGGGTATTATAGGCCGGTATTCATAGTCCGTTCTTATATTTAAGATTATCTTAAGTACGCTCTTAATGGGCTTTCAACCAATCACAGAGCCGTATTAGCATCTTAAGACAACACTTAAGATGATTTTGAAATAAGAATTGACTATGAATACCGGCCTTAGAGTGCGTTCCGTTTCACGCATGATGCACGTAATGCATCATTTACCCGATGTTAAATAAAGATAAATGATATTGCGTCTTTTCTTCGCCAGTGATTAATTGAAATAAAACGTAATGGGCAAAATTATTCGACGTATCCGGCAGTACTTCATCAAAGGAATTACACAACGTTTCGACCGAGAATTCCGGTCCTCTTCGAGTGAAAAGCGTCTTGATTACGTTCTTAGTTACAATCAAAGATAAATGATGTATTATATGCATTATACGTGAAACGGAACGCACGTTCAGCCGGTTCGGTGGTTACACGCAGCCGAGCGCGGGAAACGAGACACGACACACGTGACTCGCCCAGTTGAAGGTGGATGCGGCACATAACAATAGAAGCAGGTGGCCAGTGTTGCCAACAAATGGAAATGATAAAATCTAGGCGGTATTTAAAAAAAGTTAGACAATAGATCAATTTTACTAAAGCTCTTTGAAAAAACTAGATGTTGTAGCCTGTAATTAATTTAAAGAAACATGAGGACATTCCCCATTCTTAACTCCTCTGCTTTTGACTGGCATCGATATGGAATTAGACGATGACATTTAAGGTAGTTATTTCGTAAAATCATTTGTGTGAGAATTGTTTCAAATTTTTACGTTTATTCTTTACATTAATACGCGTGCAAAATAACACTAATTAAATTAAAATTGACCGTCTCAAAGTTGTAAGAAAAAATGTTATTATTGTAATAATTGAGTGCTGGTTCCTGTCTGGAAGAAACTTTTGAGCATTACTGTCGCGAAACAACTACCTTAAACTTAACTCTTCCTCATCGATCTTCCACTATATTTACATCACTTGCCAGTGATTATACAGGGTGAATCTTTCCATATCCGACAAAATTTTTGAGAAGGTAGAACGGATCGAGATGAATGGAAAAGTCCTGTACCATTTTGCAATTTTCGTAATACTTAACGAGTAATTAATTATTAAAAATCGTTGTTTTAGGCCGGCCTACCGCCCAATTCGAGCGCGTGGCGAGATGTGCGCATAGCAATATCGATCGCCGGGCGGTCACATCTTGCCACNNNCGCATAGCAATATCGATCGCCGGGCGGTCACATCTTGCCACGCGCTCGAATTGGGCGGTAGGCCGGCCTAAGATAACGATTTTTAATAATTAATTACTCGTTAACTATTACGAAAATTGCAAAATGGTATAGGACTTTTCCGTTCATCTCGATCCGTTCTACCTTCTCAAAAATTTTGTCGGATATGGAAAGACTCACCCTGTATGTAGACGGAAGTCCCCACTTATAAGATAAGCCCCTAATAAGAGATAGCGGGGTTTCTGCTACATTATATGGGCATCGTCTGTTGGTTCCACCATGAATCTGTTGCTCTTGGAGTAAAATCTATTTAACAAAAAATTCATTGTTAGATTGTGTAATAGTTGCGAAAAGAGATCTGTTATTGAATTTGGATGTTGAAAATCTGCTATCTCATAATAGAAGCCGGATTTTGTCAAAAGTCCACTACACATTTTGAAGGCAGAAAGACTGCAGATCGCACAGAAACTGATATATTCGACATGTTGCCAGCGTGTCAGCAGAACTGCAACAAACTCTGCTCACGTAACTGGACCTGCTCGGTTTCTGCCAGCACTCTATTGCCAAGACAAAAGCCAAATGCGGACACATGGCTATGGTTTTGGTGTGGGTTTCTGATGAATCTGTTAACATTTTACTGAGTATTTGGAACCTGAATCAGATACCAGTGATATTTAAGTAATCTTCTAATCAATCTGACGTGATATCTCGCGACGTAGAAAACAACACCGGCATAGTTGTCGGTAGGTGGTATAGAATACAGCCCCGTGTTGAGGTCTTATTCTCGAAAAATATCACATACGATATTTTATGAATGTCACCAGAATATTACACTTGATATTCTAGTCTACTGAAGACTAGTGCCATCGAGCAACGACGTTCTTGGAGCGTGAAATGAATAGCCTTTCCGAGCGAGCTGGAGCTCGTGGTTCGAAATCTTCGTGGTCCGCACACTCGAAAAGACGCGCGCGCATTAATCGGTTCTCCTGAAAATACTTAAGGAAGCTTCCTCTTTCTCTTTTTTTTTTCTTGTGGAAAAGAAACTCTTGGAAAAGTCACGGTTTCTGTAAGGGTCAATGCAAAACGTACACAGACTTTATTCTTTCCGATATACTGTAATCATAAAATAAATTTAAATTAAACATACACAGAGTGTGATATACACATTCGCGTGTGTACACATAAAGCGAAAAAGAATAGCCAGATTACAGGTAGATCCCGAGCGTCTGACGTCCGGACGGCTCGTTCTTGTGGCCTTTGTTTGATACATCGAGAGGGAAAAAAAGATAAGATACATCTCTGTCGGACGTGTGATAAAATGTGTGTATGTGTGTGTGTGATGCGTTGGTCATTCGAGGTATGTACAAACATTATCGTACAGGATCACATTTCCTCAATCTTTCTCTCTCTACGTATATATAAATGTATGTACATCGTATTTGGTAGTATATCATTTGGTAATGCAAGGTGCACGAGTGCCTTTCGCAAAGTAAGAACGTAACAAGCGAGTTGACATTCCTCACAAAATTCACCGTTCGTCGTATCAAATTCCTTAAGTCGTAAATCGCGTCGCGCCACAGGACGTCCCGAGACCGCCGGATGTCCTCTTTCTCTAAAGACTCTTCAGCCGACTCGTCAGCGCGTTTAACGGAGAACGACGAGAGCTCAAGATATTCCGATTAATTTCGGACGAAATTTAAATCCAGAGATTCTAACGCGAGCTCGCCACGAAAATGTCCGACGCAACAATAATACAATTGTTTCGACGTTCTCGCTGATTATCCTCGAATCGACCGTGATTCACGCGAACATCCCGCGGTCCCGGGACATCACGTGTACGTCTCGACGCGATATGCATGTGATAAGTGATCGCAATGATTTGTACAATTGTACGCTGAAGAATGTTGTTGTAAAACTATATACCCCCCTTTCCCCACTTAGAGTTAATACTAAGGAGCGATATTCGTAAAGTCGCCGGTCTCGCGACAGATCCGCTCGAGTACCGTTCCCCACGCAGACGGATTTGAACGTATTGGCTACGTATTGATGGCATTACTGCTGTCCAGCGCGTTGACGGCCGCCTCTTCGGATTCCCCAACGGATGGATTATTGTTCAGTCCGGCCTCGGTATTGTAGCCCGAAAACGAACAGGCAGGCGCGCTCCTGGCTTGGCTCACCACCGCGACCTCGGGCAGAAGCGACGTACGCTCCGTCGCGCTTCCCCAAGCCTGCTGATATGCACCGCGTCCGCGTATCCTGCGACTCAGGGACGAGCCGACGACGCCCAAGTGCTCCTTTATGTCGTTGTGCACGTCAGAAACGTCCCACATCGCTCTGCGGCGATAAATGTGTATTGGTTCGCGAAGAAGGTAAAACATAGTTTTGTAAAAAATCTGTTTCTTAATTAAGAGGCATGCCTTGATTGGCTCAAGAATCTACTCGACATTCATAGTCAATTGTCTCACGTACCTAAATGCATCCCACCACGCTTGACCCTGCGCCAAATTGACAAACGGTTTGTAGGAGAAGCTATAGTGATGCGCCACCGCGGCTAAAAACATCTCTATGCAAATTAGGAAATCCTGCAATTTGGACGATATATTCCTGATGTCATCCGAGTTATCCGTATCAAAAATACTCGATATGACGTCGAAGTACACCAAGAGAGCTAGCAACACTCCTTGACTGTAAATCCAAAAAGCGCAATACTGACATCACATGCGATATCACAAGCTAAACATTGGAAAAGTTATAAATTTTCTCTTGAACATCTCAAAAGTTATTAGGCAAATCAAAAAATGTTTCCGACAAAAGTCGTTCATATTAATTAGTAGAATAAGATAGTGCAATAAACAATAGAAGGTCCCATTAAAAAAATTGAAGGTGACTCTCACGCGACCTTCAAATAACTGTCCAAGGTCAAGTCAATGGCACCACCTTATTATGTGGTGCTCCCTCTTCGAAGCGAACAACTTTTGTTCGAAACGTTTTTCCGCATCTATCATACTTTCGGGAGATATTTGCGTGGATCATTCAAAATGAGACGCCCTGTACATTCTTTTCCGAGTTATCCGGACGTTACGGCGATACCTACAAGAACGAGAAGAACACGACAGCTTTGATGCATAAAAATTTCCCGATCGGCTTCATCGGCTTCAAGGCCTCTACGTTGGCACGGTAAAAGAGTACCAGACAGTACATGGCGACGAACTGCGACAGATTGTTGACGGCGATCATGTACGGGAAGGCGACGTCCCCCTTAAACTCACCCTCCCCGTAGACTCCGTTCAACTCGCATATGCTGCAAAGACACGAAACCGTACATCGAAACGTCGTAATACCAGATATAGAGATCCCCGCCGATTTCTTACAATGATATCAAAGTTGATATAGGCCTAACAGCTGTATATTGTAAGATCCCGTGCTTGCACATATGTACAAATTCTCTGCCCATCTCCCAGTCGGGAAGGCAGCATAGTGGGAACATATGGTGCACCTGAGGCGAGATCTCCAGTCTATGCTCCAATTGGTGGTCGGCGTTCAGGTAGGCCAGCAGATACATCATGAAATTGTATATCACGTAAGCCTCGTAGCACTCCCTCAAGCTGTCCACGTATATACTCCCCTCGGGATATACCAGACCTAACCACTGTACAGAACAGAGAGCGTTCGTTAAACAATCGAGCAGGTACTTGCGCGCCTTTGGCGGGTACGTAAGAGGGATTTGTAACTGTTTCTTACGGCATTCACTGCGTAGATGGGTACCATCCATAATATCCTGAAGAAAGAAAGGAACAAAATGTTTAGCATCTAATCGAGGAGAGAGCCGCTTGGCGCTTCAAAGCGTTCTTCTTCTTTTTCTTATCAAGAGAAGGGAAAAGAACGCTTTCAAGTATTTGCAGCGTCAAGTGGACCTAAGGTCACATCTCTGCAGGTCCTTCTCGCCGGGAAATGACGCACCTTATTATATACTTCTGTAGCCTAGGCTGCGTGTAGTATATCATGTGTTGGATGATCTCGTAGAAGGTGATGGGCAACGCCAGCAGGACAAACGCGCCGCCCACCAGCGCGCCCTGGTCCTGCTTCTTAAAGCCATTCTTGATGGAGTTGACCAGCAGGATTGGCACGAGTATGACGATGAGCAGCGCGTACAGGCAGGTCAGCACGGGCAATATCCATAATCTCCAGCGCCGGCAGATCGACGCCATCGCTCACCGCGGATGCTTCGGGTATCGTCACATCATAACTTCAGGACTTCGGCCGGGTCCGGTTTCTGAAAGGTGCGAGCCATCGCTGAGAACTACGTCACGATCGCCAAGCGGGATTAGGACGTTTCCGACAGTGAATTGCCAGCAGTAACCGTCAAGACACAACGTGTCGTCGAGGCGAGAATTTGTTACACTTGCAAAACGGACCAATGCAGATCTCATTCGGTTTCACCAACGAATCCGTCGTCACGTCTTCTCCCGCTCTACCGCTGCTGGTGTTCCGCTGACGGAATCAGGACACCTGTCGTGGAGGTGCCCGAGCATCGCCTACATTTCTACTGTGCTTTCCAGGGGAAACGGCACAAGTACGGTCGGAATGCATTCCGAGCATTTCCACGACAGGTGCCCTGCGGCCGAGACCCAGTTCGACGCGGTGTAACGCAGACAATAATTTTATCCCCGTTTAATAACGGCGAACAGCCAAGAAAAAACGATTCACCGCGGGTGCTTTCCGGCGAGGGACAGACTGACACAACGCAACGCATAGCATCACTTCGTCCTTGTCTAGCGATGGCAAGCGACAGAGACAAAGCGATTCATCGCGTTACAGTGTCGCCTGCGCTGTACATCGCTGGAAGACACTTTGCGTTACGCAGTTGCGCTTGCTGGCAGGCACCCGCGGCAAAAAGTCAGTCTTCGACGGATCTGGCCTGTCCGGGGACGTGGGCGCGCATTAAATTACGTCGCGTCGGAAAGCGAGGGCCTTTCTCGCCGCGAGATTACATATCGTTCGGCCGCAATTACCGAGTTTACCCCCCGCAGGAACACGGTATCTCCTTTCACGGGCCACGTCCCTCCGCACGTTCCTCGCTCGCAGTGTCAAAACTCGGCGACGATCTCTGCGCACTACTGCGATGCACGCGGGAGCGAGAGCGAGAGCGAGAGCGAGAGAGAGAGTGCGAGCGAGAGAGTGCGAGCGAGAGGGACAGCCGCGGGGCGGAGGGGGAGATGAATCAGCTGAGTGACAGCGTAGGCGGCGCGGAGCGGCTCGCCTTTTAACCCCTCAGTCCCGGCGTCGCGGTTCGAGCGCGAGATGCGCGGCGGCGGTTCACCTACCGTCTCGTAGCAACGTCGAGTCGACGTGACGCGCCGGCGGCGCCCGTGCGCCGCGAACGTCACCGGCCGTCGCGGTGCCCCGCCGGCCCGATCGCGGCCGTGTCGAAACGCCGTGGGGTCACGTATGTACAGCACGCACCTCGCCGCGGGTATGCCAATTTGACGTCTCGCGACGCTCCGCGCGGCCATCGGAAACCGGAAAGTCGCGGCTCCTCCTCCCCCCCGCCGCCGCTGCTCGCTTCGCGCAGCAGGGGGGAGGAGGAGGTCAGTGGTCAGTGCCGCCAAGGTGCGGGCGGAAAATGTCCCGCGGGGATCGCGAGGACGTTAAGGTCTTCTTCACACATAAAATTCCTTGAGGACGTAAAACGTAAGCATGAAGAAAATCGACCAATCACAGTCGAGAACGTAAGGCAATAAAGGCCTTCACACACAAAATTCCGTAAGGACGTAAAACGTAAGCGTAAGAAAATCAACAAGCGTCGCGCTACAATGAACGCAAAACGCAAGACGCTAGGCCGCAAGCAAGAAATCGACCAATCACAGTCGATCGTTCTTCTCATACTTGACTGCGATTGGTCGATTTCTTGCTTGCGGCCTAGCGTCTTGCGTTTTGCGTTCATCGTAGACGACGCTACAGATTGGATTTGCTACTGCTTGCG